ATTTCTGGTACACAGTAAGGCTCATCATTTAAAACCAACAATTTATAAATGCATTTTGTTGTCCATATGATAATTGTTACAAATTTGCATACCTATGCCTGCTCTGCAGCTATATTCTCACCCACTTGTTGTCCATATAATATAATATTTATTACAAATTTGCATACCTGTGCCTGCTCTGCAGCTATATTCTCACCCAAATTATTATAGATATCACCAAGAAAGCATGTATCATAGGCCCAAGGCCTCTTTATTGAATAAATCTGTCTGTCTGAATGTATACCACAGTCCTCTGCAAATCCACATATCCGAAAACCATGGTTCAACGATGAGTGCAAACAAGCTAGGAAGGCAAGGAAAAAAGCAGAACATTATTTCCGTCGCCATCCTATGGTGCATAATTTAAATAAATTTAAAATGTTAAATGCGAAAGCGCGGCGTTCCTTTAAACAGAATAAACGCCAATCTTAGCAAAATTATGTATCCAAAATAAATTCTCAAACGCCCATGTCCAAGGTATTGTGTTGATCTGTCTCTTGTTTGTGCACATCTACCCTTTTCAAACTAGAGTTATGAAACGTATGAAGATAGTGTAAAATGCATATTCGACACTGTGGATGAGCTCCCTTACACTGGTGTAACGCTATTGTGTGGAGATTTGAATACGGACATTTTCAACAAGCCGAATTCACGACGTTCAGTGTTATTGAAAAGGTATCTATCAGATCGCAATATGATTCCAACATACCAGGATATGAACAATATACCATCAACATGGCGAAACAAATCTAACACACAGAGTTCAACTGTAAGCTACATCTTCATTCCAGAATCGATACAGTCATCACTGCTAGAGACCGTCACCAATTACACTATTCAATATGATGTATCCGATCATGTTCCAGTGATGGTCACATTTATGAATGATTCATTTCTCACTGGAACAAAATCATGGAAATGTAGTTCTCTCAAGTGGAGTAAGGCCAACACGACAGATGTAAAGATGTATGAGTCTAAAGTGGCTATACAGTTGGGTCGGATACTGTTATTGACAACTATCCGGATACCATCACAACATGTCTACACTCAGCAGTAGCTGCCTATATACCCCGTGGTGTGTAAAACTATACCTTAAACCCTACTTGAAAGGATCAAACCTGGACTATTACCACTTCCAGATGATACAAGCAAAGCGCCACTGGGTATCCAAGGGGAAACCAAGACAAGAATAGTCTTACATAGACTATCAAGACTCAAAGAGAGAGTTCAGACAACAGATGAGGAAAGCGGAGCGAAAATGGAACAGAGAGAAATATGTTGAAATTAACACAGCTAGTGAAGTTGATATTGCCGAGTTTTACAGAACTGTTAAGAAACAGAGAAGGAGAGTTGCATCAAATGTACAGAGCAGCATTAAGTATAAAGATAAATGTGCCTCTACTCCCTCTGAAGTATGCGACCTGTGGTCGGAGTATTACTGTGACCTACTTTCGCCATACAAAAGCAAAAACTTCGATGCTGACCATTTTGAATCTATGAACAATGCGGTCGAAGAGATAGAACGTTCTGATGTCCCATCGTGTGACCCAATATTGGAAAATGGTGTCTCTATATCTGACACTCAAACTGTAGTGAAATCACTAAAGTTGAAGAAAGCGCCAGGACCAGACCTTATTACTAATGAACATATCCGATTTGCAGGTCCATGTCTGTATGGTCATCTGGCTCGCTGTTTAACCTCATAATTGAGATGTGTTACATACCCAAGTCAATGCGGATAGGAACTATTCTCCCGTTATATAAAGGTAACAGGGACAAGACTGACCCAGCAAGTTATAGGGGGATCACGTTAACTTCAGCCTTCATTAAACTGTTTGAAAAGATATTGTTAGACAAAGTTGAAAATCATGTACAAGTAACTAATCCTGAATTTCCAAACAAACTTCAGTGTGGATTTAGAAAAGAACACTGGGCAACCATAGCTGTTCACATACTGAAAGAGACAATAGCGTATTACATGGAGAGAGAATCGAATATTTATGTTGGATTCTTGGACAATGAAAAGGCATTCGACAGGATTTGGCATAATGGACTTTTATTCACATTGTTTGATATGGGCGCTAACGGACGGGCGTGGCATTTGATTAGACACTCGTACAAAGGAGCGTCTGCTTGTGTTCAATACAACGGCATCACGAGTTGTACTTTCCCAATCAGACAAGGAGTGGGGCAAGGAAGAGTGTTGTCTGCATGGATGTTCCTCCTTTACATCAATGATCTGATCACACAACTCGACAACTTTAAACGGGGAGCGTTGATTGGACAACATCATATGCCTTCAGTGGTGCTAGCAGACGACACGACCCTGATAAGTACAACTAATCATGGACTGCAGGTTTCACTCAACAATGTACATGATTACTCGTGTCTGTGGAGGTTGTGCTACAATCCAGCCAAGAGTTGCGTTCTTGTGTTCAAGGGCGGAGAGAAGTATATCAAGGAACCTTACTTTAAACTGAATAACATCCACGTGCCTGTAATAAATAGTACAATATACGCAGGATCTTTAGTTCATACCAAAAGCCAAAGTGAGTGAACGAGTCGAGCCTGTTCTTCTGCTAGACGGATAACAGCATCTCTCAAAGACGTTGGTCTTAGCGCAGGAGGGTTGAACCCAGTATTCTGTGCTAAGACCTGGCAGCGTATTATCTTAGCAAGTGCCCTGTATTCATGCGAACTGTGGGCTAACATCACAAGACCAGAAATAGAAGAATTAGAGAGGTTGCAGAGATACTTTGCACGAATCATTCAAGGATTCCATGTGCGGTCTCCAACTGCTGCTACCACACAGACTCTCGGACTCTGCTGTATGGAGGCCACGATTGACAAAAGGAAATTGAGCTACCTCGGCAGAATATGTCGAGCAAGCTCAACCCAAATGATCAAGCTACTGTTTTATTTCAGATGTGGACTGTTCTTAAGTGGTAACTTCAACAAAAACTCTGTTATTCATGACTTGATTACTATATGTGCGAAGTATGAACTGTATGAATATCTGCTTCATTACATAGATAATGGATTGTTTCCATCAAAATATGAGTGGAAAACTATATGTAATAAAGCAGTGTTTACCAGAGAGACGTCAGTATGGAGAAAGCAGTTATCCATGCAGCCCGACTTACAACGGTTTACTGCTATACACACGGGATATTTCCTATCGTGGTAAAAATATGCATACTATTGAACGGCAACTGCAGTTGTGTTTAAACAAGATAAATAAATGGTGTCTTGAAAAGGGCTTTAAATTTTCTCAATCCAAAACTAATTGTATACATTTCTGCCGTAAATACAAACCGCATAAAGACCCTGAACTATCTCTAAATGGCACACCCATCAAAGTTGTGAAGGAGGCCAAGTTCTTGTGTATTATTTTTGACTCACACTTAACGTTTCTACCACATATTAAATCCCTTTAAAACTAAATGCCTGAAGGCACTTGACTTGTTGAAAGTCGTTTCCAGTTCTGAGTAGGGAAGGGATCAAGCTCCCCTCCTACATCTATATCGATCACTGGTACGTTCCAAACTTGATTATGGTTCCATCGTTTATGGTGGAGCCTGCAAAAGCAACCTCAAACTATTAGATTCTGTCCACCACCAAGGTCTAAGACTTTGTCTTGGGTCCTTTAGAACTTCTCCTGTTGACAGTCTCTACGTCGAGGCCGATGAGCCATCTCTTACACAACACCGTATAAAATTATTCTGGCAGTATGTAACAAAACTATATTCTAATGAGTCAAATCCTGCATTTAACTGTGTTTTTAATCCTCTTTATGAGGATCCGTACAACAAAAAGCCTTCTCTTGTTCCGCCTCTTGGTTTGAGAATTAAACCATTCATTTCTGCTGCTGGCATTCAGCTGGAAAATATTTCTCCTTCCTGTCTTCTTTCTTCTCTTCCTTGGCAACTTATGAGGCCTGAAGTTGACCTAACTCTGACAAAGTTTAAGAAATCTGTAACTAATGAATTACAATATAAACAAGAATATAATCAATTAAAAAATAAATATAATACATACAAATCCTTATTTACATATGGGTCCAGGGATGGTGGCGCGGTGGCATGTACCACTGTCATTGGATCCAGAACAATATATTCTCGACTACCAAATAACAGCTCTATTTTCACAGCAGAAGCTAACGCCATATTAACAGCTCTTAAATATATTAATAAACACCGTACATATAAACAATACATAATATTTTCCGATTCTCTTTCGTGTCTTCAGCCTATTAAAAATCTTTCTTGTAAACATCCACTTTTATTAGAAATTATTGAATTGTATAATGAGCTTGTTACTTGCCAATGCGACATCGTCTTTTGTTGGTTACCCAGCCACGTTGGCATTTCTGGGAACACAATGGCCGATCTTGCTGCTAAGGCAACACTCAACAAATCTGTGACACCACCTCTGATCCCAAACTCTGATTACAAAGCTGCTATTAGATCTTATATCCGTGATCTGAGGCAAAAGAAGTGGGACACCCAAGTAGGTATCAATAAATTACATGCAATAAAACCAACTATCGGTTACACCTACTTGGGTTGTCAGTCCTGATTTGAAGAGGTCATCATACGACGATGTCGTATTGGCCACACAAGATATACTCATGAGTACCTATTAAAAGCTGAGGATCCTCCGTATTGTATCCCTTATGATGAAAGAATCACGGTCAAGAATGTCCTATCACAAGGGATATCTATTTCAAAGTCAAAACTATGAAGGATCTTTTTAGTACTATAAGTTCTCATCTAATTATTGTATTTTTAAAAGAATTAGACTTGTTAACTGATTTGTAAATAGATACATATTTTATTATTGGTAGTTTAGATTAGTAACTGAGATTGTTAGTGGTTGTACCCTCAAAGGGGGTTGAAGTATCGTAAAATTATTCTCCTCCTGAGTAAGTCCCGAAACATTCAAAGGAAATTTAAATTTACCAGCTGTTTTAAATGTAGTATTTTTGTCATTTTAAGTTTGGCTAAATTTGACTTCAATCGCAAGCGGCTGAACGGATGATATAAATCCATCTAGGGTCCATGCAGGTAGCAAAATTACTGTAAGTCCCCATGGTCCCTAGTTTGGTGATCTACCTTCAGTTGTTGGCGATCTATAGCCAGTTTTTATATTATATTGTCCAAATAGTGCTATTAGTTTTAATTTTCCACACTAGTTTTAGTTGTTATTGTTATATTCTAGTTGTTTTACTGTCCTTCGTCGACAGGTTGCTATACTATACATCTATTCCATTTCAATGTCACATATGTTCTCGTCACGATCCTCCAAATGTTTTGACTTTTCATTGTATAAATTGTTCTTGTCACGATATGGCTGAGATATCGTCGATGTGACGTTAAATATTAACTCACTCACTCACTCATTCGATTATTTACAGACCGCCGCCATATACATGTTGCTGGAATATTGCTGAGTGCGGCGCAAAAAAACCTCACTTACTCTTTACCTGATATACTACTTTTGTGAGTCTTGTTCACTGTGGTATTCCTACTGTTGCATATGAGTTATTTAAGGGCAGCATTTTTATTATTTTTTTGTGCTTGTCATCGCCCGCCCGAGCCTTCTAGGTTTAGAACCCCCGACCCCCTATAAAAAAAACACTTTTTTTTTCATTCCAACAACCCCGCCACAAGTCCAAAGAACGCGAGAAATTGTGATAAGAATTACAATAAATGAGAATGAAGAACATTCTTCAGATAATTTTGTCTTTATTAATTTTTTTTAGTTTTTTTTCCCCGACCGACCGACCGACCCATGTTCAGAATTTGGTGGCTACGTAAAACACGTAAAACAAATGATGCCCTAATCGTTTTGTTCAGATTTAATAACATTGTTTAATCTTTTGAGGGGTAACGCATACAACAAGAATTCTCCCATTGAACGCATGAGCAGTTTCGTTGTTAACTTACACGGTGTTCTTTTATGGTTAGGAGTGGTAGGGTAGCCTAGTGGTTATAGCGTTGGCTCGTCACGCCGAAGACCCGGGTTCGAATCCCCATATGGGTACAATGTGTGAAGCCCATTTCTGGTGTCCCCCGCCGTGATATTGCTGGAATATTGCTAAAAGCGGCGTAAAACCTGGTTAGAGTGACAGGGGAACAGACACATCATACTAGGCACTGTGAATAGTAGTGAATGAACAAATAAGATGGGCTAAACGCTGCTTTGAACAGTGTTCCAGTTGTATCACGACTTCTAGGCCTAATGCGTGAGGAAAGGCGGAGTGAGTGAGTTTACTTTTACGCTTCCTTTAGCAATATTCCAGCAATATCACGGAGGGGGGCAATAGAATTGGGCCTCACACATTGTACCCATTTGGAAATCGGACCGGGTCTTTGGAGTGACGAGCGAATGCTTTAACCGCTAGGCTACTCCAACACCCAAAGAGGAAAGACTGAAGTGATGCAAGTCACAGGCATAGCCAAGTTATTATGATGTTAAGGACATCTTCAACAGATGTACCACTAGTGTTTGTTTGTTTCTTGTACCCTTTTCTACATTGAGTGGTGTGTGACCTCTGTGTGTGTGTGTGTGTGTGTGTGTGTCTCTGTGTGTGTGAGTGTGTGTGTGTGTGTGTGTGAGAATGTGTGTGTGTGTGTGTGTGTGTGTGTGTGTGTGTGTGTGTGTGTGAAAATGTGTGTCTGTGTCTATCTAACCACTTGTGGCTGAGTATGTGTCTCTGCTCGTGTGTGACTGTGTTTGTATTTGTTTCAATGTGGTTCTGTATGGGTCTGTTTATAGGTGTGTATCTGTGCTCTCTGTCTGTGCAACGTATATTGGGCCGCTGGTTTCATGTATCGCATATGTTAATCAGCTTAACAGCCGAGCAAGTATCATGGCTAGAAGTGAGGAAAGCATGCTAGAAACTTGATCGGAGTTTAAGTGGTCTTCCTCAAATCATGCATGTCGTAAGATGTCGCTTACTTGGTTGAGGCATGGCATCGTATCCAAAATGCGTAGTTCGATTCATTGAGCATTGAGTATATATTACACTCTCTCTGTCAAGCAATTGTTCAAATGACAAGTTTTTAATCCTCACACACAGAGATGTTTTATGGAGATTATGGAGTCTACTTTGATCGGTCTTGTCAGACTGGTCACAATTGTAACATGGTTTCTTAGCAACAGGCTCCATAATATCTTAAATAAACTTCAAATACTTTTTCAGATAATATACAGGTAAGACGCAGTTACCCCCCTTACTTGTCCGACTTGCTCAGCCGTGCATAGACACGGCCTCGGTGTTTGCGAAGTCACGACGACCCAAACACCCTTGGGACGGGTATATCGCCTTGACACTCGGACAGTACATACAGGTGACAGTGGCACCTAACTTAACTGTTGGTGTCTAGGAGTCTTCTATATCTATATATTTGTCCTTAACCAGGAAGTGATATAGTCAGACCTTAATCGGGTAGGTTACAACATGCCGATTGTATGCCGAGTCAAGTCTTGCAGAACTGGCCTACTTATTATCAAGTGAAGCATTACATGTTAAAATAGAATTCGGTCTGCATTTTGTATTCACTACAGGATATATTTTATGCTTTTAGCTAAATGCAGATGTTCGAGTGTGTGTGTGTGTGTTTGTGTGTGTGTGTGTGTGTGTGTGTGTGTGTGTGTGTGTGTGTGTGTGTGTGTGTGTGTCCTCGTGTGTTTGTCCTTTCGTCTGTCTGTGTGTGTGTGTGTGTGTGTGTGTTTAACCTCTCGGGGTGTGTGTGTTCCTCTCGGGTGTGTGTCCTCTGTGTGTGTGTATGTGTGTGTGAATGTGTGTGTGAATGTGTGTCTGTGTCTATCTAACCACTTGTGGCTGAGTATGTGTCTCTGCTCGTGTGTGACTGTGTTTGTATTTGTTTCAATGTGGTTCTGTATGGGTCTGTTTATAGGTGTGTATCTGTGCTCTCTGTCTGTGCAACGTATATATTGGGCCGTTGGTTTCATGTATCGCATATGTTAATCAGTTTAACAGCCGAGCAACAGAAAGCATACACTTGAAGTTTGGAACAACAATTAACACTTATCAGAGGGGTAAACAAAGTCCGCAGTCTAGACTACCAGTTTTCCGACTTCCATTTTTATGGAAGTCGCGGTGGCTGAGCGGGTTAGGCGGCTGACTTTGTTTGTGTGCTGGTGATATCGGGCCTGACTCTTGAGGGTGTGGGTTCGAATCCCGGATGGGACTCAACCCAAAAAAGTACTAGAATGTGTACTTTACTAAGAAAGTGTAATCCCAAATATAACATATGTAACAATTTCAAGTGTTACTTGTCTGAAAGGAGTGGGATTTTGGACGAGCGAGTGAGTGAGTGAGTGAGTGAGGTTTACACCGCTTTTACAATATTACAGCAATACCAAGCAAGGGGCACAAGGAAATGGTCTTTACAAAGCGTACACATACAGGGAATCGAACCCAGGTCTTCGACGTGGCGAGCAAAAGCTTTAACCACTAGGCTACCCCACCGCCCCACACGTGCACTAGTGCTTCGTATGGTTCATGGTAATGGGTTATGGTATGGTATCGCATGTTGTGTTGTACAACAACGCCTAAGTTTCCAAAATATCGAAAACCCATTCGCGCCCTTATTGCAGTCAACCACTTTCATTTGCCGAATGCACGGTTGTCTCGATCTACAAACTTAGGCCCTCTGCATCTTTACTCATAGTTTCTGTTGTGTCGAACATCGGGTAACTCGAAGTATTTACGCTGGTCTCTTCAACTGCGACTGTATATTATAACTATTATTTCCGCCTCTTCTAGGACAGACAGACAAACAGATGTTTCATAGTAATTTGACTTTGGGCATCTGGAAATGCATGCATAAAATATTCACCCATCACTATTAAAGTGGCTTCGCGCGCCAGTTGTTTAACAGCGTTGGAAAACCTATTATATCTCAAGTATACACATCACATTATTCCTCCATAATACGCATATTACAGGTTGCTGTTCAACCGCTTCCTCCCACCAACCACAAGCATGCTTCTTTCAACACCAACACTGCTGCTGATCGTTGCCGTCATGCAGCCCGTGGACAGAACGTCCAGGAACGTCAACCCCCTTCACGGCATCGCTTACGTCTCCGTGACGACGGACAACCTGACGGCGTCCACTCAGTTCTACACGCAGGTGAGCATGGTCATGTACTACGTTAAACATACTAATGATTTGAACCCTAAAGTTTTAGTTTAAGGTCCTTAAAATGCTAGTTGTTACATTACGCGGAAAATGCCATAATACGATGTTATTGTATGAAAATATGAAGTTTGTGCTCCGAAAAATGAAACTATTGCAATCTTTTTTCAATATCAGTAATTAAAATGTCATCCAAGAGGAGCCTCCTTTTCTGTTGTTCTAACATACGACTAACAAGTAAATATATTCTGCTACCGTTGTAGGCACATTCCATTTGACATATTTGTAGAGATTTCGTCAATAAGGGATGATAGCAATGCTAAGTCATCATGCTACGTTAATAAGAGACTGGATTGTTTAATAATACTCTTAAAAAAGTAAGGGAATTTCATTTAAATTTAAGACTGAAAAAATTGGGAGACAATCAATGTTAACATTCGGAGACAATCAATGTTAACATTGGGAGACAATCAATTTTGACATGATAATATGAATGTTTTGAGAGTGCATCACCACATGCAGTTCATTATGACCATAGCTGTTTGTATAGTATTCGCTCTTGTAAGATTATTAGTGTATGGCTTGATATTTGCATTTTTACGATTTTAATTTTCAAAAAAAAAAACTGGCTAGAAACAAACACTTAACAACTGTGTGATGCATAATGATTGTCAAAATTAATGGTCTACAGTTATTTATCGACATCCTTGAAAACCGTCAAAATCAAGACACCCCATGCACGTGTATGGGTTTACTGCGTTGTGCACGTGCATCCCATGCGTTGTGTTTAGGGGTGGTGATATAGAGAAATGGTGGCGCGTTCATAAGATATCTGTGTTTGAAAAGTTTGTTAACGCTTATACTTCCTATCCAAATTGAAAGTTCAGGTTGCCCTATTTTTGTAACGAGTATTTTATGTTTCATCCACTACCAAAACTAGATTTGTGCTATGATCATTTCAACGTGGAATAAACTTATTTATCATTGCACGCAGGTGCTGGGAGGGATGCTGGTGCCAGAGTTGACCTTCACCTTCAGCGGAGATTCTCACTACTACCGGATGTTCCAGAAGGAGATCCTCGACGCCAGATCACAAGGGGTTGACCCTGCCCAGCTGGGAGTACCGGATATAAAGGATAACGGCACTTACGAGGTCAGTACATAAGGGGACGGGATTCAAGAGGTTTGTGTGTAAGTCATAATAATACTGCCCAGGTCAGTATATAGGCTATTGCGATACACACGAGGTCAGTAAATAGGGGATAACTGCACATCAGAATGTAGGTTGATCGGCAATGACACTCCTGGGGGTGAGTGAGTTGAGGTTTACGCCGCTGTTAGCAACATTCCAGCAATATCACGGCGGGGGACACCAGAAATGGGCTTCACACATTGTACCCATGTGGGAAATTGTACTCGGGTCTTCAGCGTGACGACCACAAGGCTACCCAACCGCCACTTTTACATAGGAACCACGCATAATGATAACTTACGTGCAAATGGAAATGCTGATAGCTTCAATGACAACAATAACATCCTGTGTAATTCCGTATTTTCACTTTTATCATAATTATGCTCTTAATTGATCAGGTGAATAATTGATTAGACTTTGCATTTGTTTATGATGGGTACCATAGACAGAGGAGATACGCTCGCCATTTTCGCAAACACCTGGGATCATCACTATTTGACAGTGCATGTTTCAATAATGAGAAACTTATAATCGATTCTGCTTTTTACAGCGATTTTATGAGTGATTTAGGGAACTGTAGTGTACACTTTTGACTACAGGTGCGCGGAAACTTCATCGTCTTTGACAACGGCATCATCCAACTTGTGACGTATGCGCTCAAATCATCATCATCTGATATTGTCTTCGACATCCGTGATCGTCGCACCAGCGCTTGCTACATCGCAGCCCCACATATATGTTTCTGGGTCAAGGACGACGTGGATTTCAACCATTACATTGCAGAACTAGAACGGAACTCACGTGATCTTGGGTTTCATCAGGTCAAGGTCAACAGACCAGTGAAAATTCACAACGAAGCTGAGAGACTAGCCGTTCCCGAAAACCAGCTTGGTATAACTTTTGACAGTGGAGACTTTGCTGGTTTATCATTCGCTTACTTTAAAGGTCCGAGAGGTGAGCAACTAGAACTGGGCCGGATTACAAACCAAACACGGTACCACCTTGGCAGTGATTACTGCCGACGGAAGGGTGTAGCTACAGCCTTCTTGGACAATCACCCTGACAACAAATGGAAGAAAGCTGCGAGAGTCAGTGGTCAGCTTTATGGGTTCTTCCATTTCGGGACAAGAACAGATGACCTTTTGAAGTCCATGAACTTCTACTCACATGTCCTCGGTTCAGAGCTGGTTGCAGAACCTCTACAGGGGATGAGCCTTGGAGGAGATGAACTTGAAAATATGATGTTTCAGAAAGAGATTCTTGAAGCATCATCCTGGGGAATTGATCCTCGAGATCTGGGGATTGCAAATGTTTCCCTGGCAGGAAATGACAGACTTCATCTTACTTTTAACCTGTTTGATAACTACGCAGTTGAAACTCTGGTGTATACAGCAGGAGGATCTCTGTCAGATCCCAAGTTTAATCCCAGATACAACTGGAGCAGTCCTGCCTACATCAACAACATGAACATGGCCTTCTTCGTCGATTCCAACGTTGATCTGAACAACTTCCTACATAGTGTAGAACTGAAGGCTGCCAGGAAAAAATTCTCTCAGTTTAAACTGAATAGGGCGGTTGATGTGCCGACATTAGGGGCTAGCGTTCCTGCAGCACAGTACAGTGAAGAGTTCACTGATGGAGCTCTGAAAGGTTTCAACTACGTGTATGCTAAGGGTCCAGCAGGGGAACAGATATCCTTTGTTCAGTTCAAGGGTCCAGTGGAAGCCAAACTGAAGTCAGCCCTGTTGCGGTATTCTGCTGTCAACACTGCCTTCAAGGAGACGAATCCGTGGGCCAGAAAAGAATATGACTCGTTTTGTTCTAAATATCCAGGAAGCCCTATTTTCGGCTAAAGTATAATTCAGAATCAAAGCTGGTTTATCAAATATCAGATGAACTGAAATATTTCAATAGAAGTTAAGCAGGGACATTTACTGGACAAGATGAAGTCATTGCCTTTATGTGCTTCAATCATTTTTACAGCCCTACAATCCTGGGACTCAAAGCCGATGGCCCTTGCTTTTACTTACAATTGATCATCATGAAGATCTGGGACAGAATGTATCATAAGTAACCCACGTTTGTTGTTGGAGGTGACTTACACATAATTTGGAAAACAAAAGGGTTTGGAGCGTTATCCTCTCAGACAAAATCATTTTGACCACAATAGAAGATGCCTCTTGTGTCCACCACTATAGCAGGCGCCAAATGTGTCCACCACTATAGTAGATGCTGAATGTGTCCACCACTATAGTAGATGCTGAATGCGTCCACCACTATAGTAGATGCTGAATGCGTCCACCACTATAGTAGATGCTGAAGTCCATCACTATAGTAGATGCGTCCACCACTATAGTAGATGCTGAATGCGTCCACCACTATAGTAGATGCTGAATGCGTCCACCACTATAGTAGATGCTGAATGCGTCCACCACTATAGTAGATGCTGAATGCGTCCACCACTATAGTAGATGCTGAATGCGTCCACCACTATAGTAGATGCTGAATGTGTCCACCACTATAGTAGATGCTGAATGCGTCCACCACTATAGTAGATGCTGAATGCGTCCACCACTATAGTACATGCTGAATGCGTCCACCACTATAGTAGATGCTGAATGCGTCCACCACTATAGTAGATGCTGAATGCGTCCACCACTATAGTAGATGCTGAATGCGTCCACCACTATAGTAGATGCTGAATGCGTCCACCACTATAGTAGATGCTGCATGTGTCCACCACTGTAGTAGATGCTGCATGTGTCCACCACTATAGTAGATGCTGAATGCGTCCACCACTATAGTAGATGCTGAATGCGTCCACCACTTTAGTAGATGCTGAATGCGTCCACCACTATAGTAGATGCTGAATGCGTCCACCACTATAGTAGATGCTGAATGTGTCCACCACTATAGTACATGCTGAATGCGTCCACCACTATAGTAGATGCTGAATGCGTCCACCACTATAGTAGATGCTGAATGTGTCCACCACTATAGTAGATGCTGAATGCGTCCACCACTATAGTAGATGCTGAATGCGTCCACCACTATAGTAGATGCTGCATGTGTCCACCACTGTAGTAGATGCTGCATGTGTCCACCACTATAGTAGATGCTGAATGCGTCCACCACTATAGTAGATGCTGAATGCGTCCACCACTTTAGTAGATGCTGAATGCGTCCACCACTTTAGTAGATGCTGAATGCGTCCACCACTATAGTACATGCTGAATGCGTCCACCACTATAGTAGATGCTGAATGCGTCCACCACTATAGTAGATGCTGAATGCGTCCACCACTATAGTAGATGCTGAATGCGTCCATCACTATAGACACGCGAAGAATCAGATTCTTCGGATCCCTCCCCGATAGAGCATGTTTGGGACGAGATGGGTCGACGTCTACGCCGTTTTCCTCATCCGCCAGATAACCTCCTTGACCTTGCAACAGAACTTGAGAGAATCTGGCGTGACATCCCACAAGCCTTCCTTGCACGTTTGATAGGCTCTATGCGTCGTCGATGCACTGCTGTTCTCAATGCCGATGGTGGACAAACCCGGTATTGAGCTTGTGACATGGTCGTTTGACCCCTGTCCCGCTTGTGGACGTCATTGTGACTGACTTTTCAATTGAAATTCTCCCGACTTGTTATGGTCTCATGATCCCTCCATTAAAGTTTATATGTACCTTTGACATTGTTCTCGTACTTATCAACTGGGATAATATTTTGACAATGCACAGTTTCTTTATGTGGCTAGTATATGTGTGGTTACTTCGAAGATAAATTTCTCCACTATCTTGAGGAACCAACCGCAAACTTTATGTAGATGAATTGTACGAGGATCATGCATCAAATTGCTCAAAGGCATGTGCAAATATCGTCCATGTGAACAGCTGCGTTTTTGTGTAAAGTTTTGTTAAGAATAAGCCAATTTTCACTGATTTTCATCATTTACTGAACTCATAATAATAATCTTTTCAACGTTACGAATTTGTTTTACAATACATCAGTTCATGTGTAAACAGTACCTTTAAACTGAATGGAATATTTTGCAAAATCAAGTTTAGAACAGGTGACTAAATTAAGTGGCTACATTTACACTAGCAAGTCTAAACTTTTGATGGGTAGTATATATGATCTTGTTTTTGTACTTGCGATGAAGTGTTCACCATCAAGTGTATTCTGCTTAAATGTGCGGACTTTTAATTGCAAGGGATTCGCAGTATAAAGCGACAAATCTGAAAGATCTGTTTTCCCGCGTGAGCGGGCAGCTCATTGTTAACTACCTGTAGGAAGTTGAACTGTATCCTAAACTGTAGCTACACATGTATGCAATGTGAATGACGAATTGCTTGTTTTTTTAATTTGGTGCTATATTATTTTCTGTTTGTAAATAATAATGTAATGATTATATATGGGGTTTTTAAAAGTCATTTGGACTTTGTACTTAAACTTTGTATGAATGTAGACTTGATCTCGTCACTATATGGCTGGAATAAAGCCTCGAGCCCAACTCAATTCTGATCTAATGTTTGTAGGTGACGTATCATCTTTTCCTGATACACCTCTAAATCCACAGCATGTTTTTGTTTTATTTTGACAGATTATTTGACAACCTTCAAAAATCATGGTGTAGTTTTGTCAACAGTTTATCTGATTCCTTCTTTTATAAGCACTTTAAACCCTTGTTAAATTTAGAAAAGTATCTTACACTCCCCATCCCTGTACATCAGATATTATGCATGAGATATTAAAAGGTTTAATCTTGAAGTTGGTTTGGGGAGATATACAAGTGTCCCATATACGGACCGACTGTGTAAATATTGTATAAAAAGGAGGAAATCTTTTACTGAAGATGAATTTCATATTTTGCTTGTATGTGGGCGTTGCTCAACCGTAAGACATATGCATCTTTAACAGTATATCAAGTCCATAGTTTATCGACATTATTTCATTTGAAAACTTAAATGTTGTATATTACATATGTCTTCATATATTTAAGTCCAAAAGCTTAGAGAAACAATTACTTCACTGACATGCGTGATTCATGCCACCGAACATGACTGTATTATGGACGTATGGCCTCTTAACTAAAGACACTATTTGTGTATTAATATATGGAAAGCATGACAAATGTCTTACATGAATATGTCATGAGGGTGTTCAAAGTATAGATTGAATATAGCTGTCCTGCGTCACTTTTTGTACTGCTGGATATAAGTGCTGGATTGAAAACATTGTTGGGGACACAAATACTTGTACAGTGTCACGGTAGAGGTCCCCCATAGCCTAGCAGCATCTCCAGATGAAGAAGTAAAGACAAACATACCAAACAACATTCATTCAGCCAGAAGTATGACCTTTATGAACACAGGCCTACAATTTATGACAATTAATGGAAGAGTTTACTGAATATCCTGAGTGTGAACAACATTCATACACATTTGCATGTCATGACAACTCGCATACATGTCGAACAAACTTGATACAACCATATGGCCATTGGGGCGACTCATCACAGCATCAGCTGGCAACATTCCACCAGCCTGGCTAACCACAGTGAGTGAGTGAATGAGTGAGTAATATTTTTAGCAATATTCCAGAAATATCACACACCAGAAATCTGCATCACACATTGTACCCATGTGGGGAATCGAACCCTCGTCTTCGGCATGACGAGCGAACGCTTGAAAACTAGGCTACCCCATCGCCCCGGCAGCGGTTCAGATGCTTTCTCATAATGTTTACAAGAAAAAAGGATGAGATCGTTCGTAAAATCGAATATGCTTTCAGAAATATATATACTCTCCCAAAAAAGGAACGCATTGTGAAAATAGCAGTTTCATGTAGCAATGAATTAAAACGTGATTCATTTAACAAAAGGTTTTGCTCTGTTTATGAGTCCTATGGTGTTTATGTTTTGAAACATCACAACAAAACGCACCATCCGTAAAATACCCGTATTTAACAGCATGATTTTCAATTTCGGCGTGTAGTGTCACAGAATACACAATTCACATGCAATGCATGTGAAAGTTGGGGATCAGATAGTCTCAATGATGGGTATAAAAGGTTGATCGCTGTCTGTCGATTATTCACTGTATTTGGAATATTGTTGACGAACGCAAGATGCCACGTCTAAGTGAAGCCAACCGTCATATCGACATTGGTTTGCTTGAAGCTGGCAAGTCTCAACGTGCAGTTGCCCGACGCATGAATGTTCACCAAAGCACCAAAGCACCATTTCACGGCTCTGGGAGAGGCGCAGGATCGCTACATCCGGGTACATCACCTGCGTCATCGAACAGCTACGGCGACCAGTACCGCTCGACAAATACCCGGATTGAGGTGGCTTTCTGCACAGACCGTCAGGAACAGGTTGAAAGAGGCTTGTTTACGTGCCAGAAGACCTTATTTTGACCATGTGCTTCGACAACAACAGCGTCGACATCGAGTTCAATGGTGCACCAACGTTCAGGCCTGGAACCTACCGAATTGGAGTAGAATCTGGTTCAGTGCTGAATCACGATTTCTATCGGAACGACGCGATGGAAGAATGCGGGTGTACAGACGTCGACGTGAACGTTTCGCCGACGCTTGCGTTCCCCAGGTGGACAGATTCGGCCGGGGAAGTGTTATGATGTGGGGAGCGATCACCTGCGGTAGGAGAAGTGATTTGGTGATGATCCAGGGCAACCTGACAGCTCAACGGTACTGTGACGAAATCCTACGCCCACACCTCCTTCCAGTCATTGATCGCAAGAGGGAGTTGTTTCAACAGGACAATGCCAGGCCCCACACAGTACGTTACACTAGAGACTTCCTCCAGAACCACAACATCAATGTGCTCCCCTGGCCCTCAAGATCACCGGACTTAAACCCGATCGAACATCTGTGGGATGCCCTGGACAGACGGGTGCGACGCCGTAACCCTCAGCCCCAGACACTTCAGCAACTCGCACAGGCACTACAGGCAGAGTGGGCTGCGATTGGGCAACATGAGATTCTGAGACTTATTCGTTCGATGCCGAGGCGATGCCGTGCAGTTCTGGATGCCCACGGTGGTCACACGAGGTATTGACTTCAGCGCCACCACACGT